GGCAGGAGCTGCCGGACAAGCACATGAGCGCTGGATGAGCCGCCAAACTAGCAGCTCCCGGCCAAGTGGCACGTGGCAGTAGGAGCTGCTTTCCCCTCCTCCGTACACAAGCTGCTGCTCCATCCTGTGCCAGCCCTGTCCCAGCCAGGCAGCTCCTGCCCCAGCCCCATGCCTCCCTCCCTGGGGGGGCTTGATCCCCTCATTCCCCTTCCTTTCCCCCTCCCACCACACCAGACTTACCAGCTGGAGGCAGCTCTCCACACTGCCAGACTGGTATCGGAAATCGGATCGGTATCAGTTGATATGCCTCCTTAAAAATTGGCTATCTGTATTGGCCCCAAATTCTCTGTTGGTGCACCCCTACACCATGCAGTGCTAGGCAGACATTCTCAAGTTAGCAAACTCATCAGAGTTAAAGAGCCAAGGCAGAGCACTGCACTAATGGAGCTATTCTGCTTCCAGGACCTGAAACTACAGAACACAGCACTGCATTGTCCCTTATAAACACATCCATGATGGCTAATGTCTAGGAAGTTCTTCGGGACACAGAAGGTAAAGCATGAGATACTGTCCACAACCTGGACTCGAGAAAGGTAGTCTCTCGCCCTAATGTGTCTGGTGGCAGCCCACTGGTTATTGCATGGCTTTGTCACAGGTGAGGAACTGCTCAGCATGAAAACTCAGACAAGTTCAAGCAGTGTTTCCCAACCTGTGTGACACAGCACAAAACTGTGCTGTTAGAAATGAACAGGTATGCCACAGAATTTTGCCACGGCAATGAGCTACAATAAGTATGAGGATGGGGAATGCCTTAACAGGTGTGCCGCAGAAAAATGCTGTTAATGTAAGTGTGCCTTGGGCTGGAAAAAGTTGGGAAACATGGAGTTAAAGGGAAGGGAATGTCTGATCCAGATGTATACAACACTTGGGACCATAAAGTAAATGTTATGGGTGGCATCAAGACCTTGCTTAAAGTTTCTTGACTTCACAGAATTGTGTTTTTAAATGAAGTAAGGGCATCCAAAACACAGGGCTCTAGACCAGGACTGAGAAACTCTGAGTTCTGTTGCTAGCTCTGCCACAGATCTGTATTCTGCCATCCCTTCCTCTCCCTCAACAATTCACACAATAAGCTGTTCAGGTCAGGATTATAATGCTTAAAATGAGGCCCTGATCTCAAATGGCGTCATTAAGTACTACTGTAATATAAATAAATAAAAAATTATGACAGTCTATTAATATTTCAAACAGCAATATAATTTCAACCTTAATACTAGCTTAAATAATTTTTAGTCTGAATTTCCTTAGCTTTTATTAAAGCTGAGATAAGCAGTTTATGATATCCATAAATCAAAGACCATTCAATGAATTTTTCTTGTAACTTAAGTTTTTTTTTTTATATTCGCGACAAGCACATTAAAAAAAATCATGGTTCAGACATATTATTTCACCAGAATAGTCTTACATTGTTGACTAAATTGATTGATTACTCCATACTATTTAAGAAAGCCAACACAAAGTTTCAGTAATTTTTTTTCCTTTTTATAGTGAAATTCAAATTTCCTTCTGGGACAGAATTAAGTACCAGCACCTAAAATAATATATTTAATCAATGGCATAAGTAGGGCAGTTGCCCTGGGTGCCAACTTGGGTGCGAGGGGAGAGAGGAGCCACAGGAAAGCACATCTGCCACTGCAGCCACATAATCACAATATTATGGTACAGCGACTGGAAGCTGCCATGAGTGTGGCACCTGCCCGGGCACCCGACTACATCAATACATTTCTGCATTTCATATTCAGTTTAGCCATGATACTTTGGCCAAAAGCCAAAGGGTGTTTTCATTTGTGTCTATATGAACAAAGCCCTCCAAATTCTAGTATACAGCATACCTTTTCAATTACCAGGTTTTCTAAATGACTTAAACCTACTTGTAGGAAAAGTCATAATGGTTAACAAATATACAACACCCTCTCCCCGCACCAAAACCCCACCTGCATAGAGCTTTTCAAGTACTTTTTTTCTTTAAAAAAAATGGGGAAAATAAATTACCTATGCTATAGTCAGGAAAATATAAGGTGAGTGGTTCAAAGCATCCTGTATTTGGACGGAACAGTTCCCATACAATTTCAGTGACCAAGATGACAGTCACATTTCTGTCTGCCTGTAAAAAGAAAGAAGGTGACCTTGCATGTAAAAATATTAATCAGAAGAATGACTGTTAGCATTCTTCATTCAAAGAATTTCATCAAATTCAGAGTTTAACACAAATTATCAGCATATTAATAAGTTTTTAGATGGCCTAATCAAGATGCTCATACATTTGCAGATCTTCGTAACTGGGATTCCTGTACATCTCTTACCATTTAATTGACATTTACACTACTTTGGGTGATGGGGCCCTGGTATTAGGCATATCAATTTGCTTTCCTCTCTTGCCCCCAAATTAAGACAACATTTTACCTTGATAATTAATCTCAAGGAAAGTCTAGATTTAAACAGGAAGGATTGAGGAAGTAAAGCAAGAGCAATGTTTTCGTTCAGGAAAGATACTTCAGAATTATTTATAAATGTCAGCTGACTTCCCTCCCCCTGCTCCAGTGTGGTAAAAATGATCTCTCTACTTTACTGACTGGTTTGCAATTTTAATGATAGTGGCTGTAATTGGTTTAATACTCTATATTGACATTTCAATAAAGTTTATAGGAACATGCAATTTCCAACTTTGTTATTCAGTTCAACAGGTAACAAAATTTTTCTTTATGTCAAAAAATGCATTGTTACTGAGTTCTAACATTTTCTATTTATTAAGAATGAAAGAAATATTTCAAATATATAT